TTGAACAAAACTAAAAAGATTTGTGGTGTTTCTGGTTCAATGAAGTGCGCCTTATTTACTCATATGGTGTTTTTGAACCCATTTGGGGGTAATATATATTGGGTTTTCTTTCTTTCTTTCTTTTTTTTTTTTTTTTTTTTTAACAATGAAGCAACACTGAGCACATTATGGCACTGCACAATCCAACCATTTAAAGGTGCTCTGTGTAACTTTTTGGTTGATTTGCTTGTTTCTATGGATATATCACTCCTCTACCTGCCTGGAATGTTCCACAGTATGACATTAAACAGCTCTACCTTGCATTTATTCAATTACAGGTGGTTTTATATCTCAAAAATACCTAGCAGGTATTCTGACTGTGAGCGGGGTTCCCTCTACTCAGATCTAAACTGTTAATTGGTCTGGTTTGATCTCCATGAAGATTGAAAGGTACTGTAGCGGCCAAAACTTGCCCTGTGCAAGGTCCGCTATGGCTGCAGCATGTGTGGTGTCTCGGACGCGTGTCTTCCATAAAAAGAGAGTCCAAATACTGTGTTCCTTAACATTTATTGGCGTACCTTATAGCCATCCAAAAATACACAGATTCAGCACTCAATATATCACGACGACGACGACGTTCAAAAGACTGTATACCTTCACGGTGCAACACCTGTGTGCACAATTTCCTCCCCTTTTATAGGGCAGCAAATTATATATAGCGCCACACAGAGGCGGGAGGTAAAGAAGCGCAATATGGCTCCAACACATACTGTGAAGCATTCCAGACAAAGCAATAACATCTCCACCCCCTACCAGAAAAGATACAGAATGCATCTTTAACAACAGTGTTTTTTTCTTGTTGTTTTTTCAGATCTCTGGGAGGAGCGTTTCATCGACTGTAAGATGGAGAACACCACCTTTGAACACAACAAACATGGCTGCCACTTGGACATTGTGGAGGAGAACGACGTCCTTATATATCTGGTCAGCTTCTTGGGCAGTTTGGCTGTTCTGCCCGGCAACATTATATCAGCGCTTTTCATGGAGAAGATTGGAAGAGTCAAGATAATCGGTGAGCTTATTTGATTTATCCTATACAAGTTAGTGCGATTTTTCTGAGCTAATCCTAATCTTTTAACCTCTCTCCCAGGTGGCTCCATGCTCATATCCGCAGGCTGTACATTCCTTCTCTTCTTGAGCTTCAGCCAATCAGCAATCATCGCGCTGCAGTGCCTTTTCTGTGGCGTGAGTGTGGCAGCCTGGAATGGCATTGAAGTGGTCACTGTGGAGCTGTACCCTGCCTCAAAAAGGTACATGGCGGTTCAGTTTTGATGATATAGAATCAAGGTCAAGTTTTATTTATAAAGCACTTTGAAAGTACAGTCATTACTGACCAAAGTCCTGTAAATTTTAAATGACTAAGTACTAAAAAGCATAACAAACATAAAATGCAATAAATAGAACAGTTTATGAAACAAGAAAACATGAGGTAAAAAGAATAGTGCTCTGGATCTGTACATCACAACTCGCAGAAGATCAAATTGTAATATAGAAGAAATGACTATACTTGTTGTTGCAAATTACATTTTTTACAATGCAACATTACTAAAAAGGTGAATGATTTCATCATTGTTGAATCCAACTTATTATCATGCCTGTGCGCAACAGCACCCAGCAACCTCACTGTTAGTGTCACTACTTCCTGTCCAATTCAATCTTTATGAGGTTTTTGGCGAATCATGCTAAAACTAACAAATATTTAAAGATAAGACAGTGGACACAGATCTGCCTGTGAATGTGACAGACAACATGTTAAAAACTACACAAATAAAATGAATACATGACCGAAAGGAAACTTCGGTTAAAAAGTGAGATTTTGTGTCTCAGTGCTAATGCTACTGCAAATTTGGAGGCATAATAAACAGCCGATTAAAATAATGCGACAAACTGAAATATTCTACATAAAAAATGATTGGGTAGTCTTTATTTTAATTAATTTTGTTTATTTTGTGTTTTTTATTTTAATAAACCATTAGCTTTGAGACACCATGAGTAGCAAGCAGCTGCTGTGCACAGAGACTATTGGAGTTATAAATTTTAGTATAATGATGACACTCCTTATGAATGCAACATCACGGTAGTGTTAGTGCAATGGCAACAGTACAAGTCATAGCAGTGCAGTGTTCTTGGCTCATAGAGTCAATTGCAAATGGTCATTACCAGTTTGTCTGCTTTGTGTGTTTCAGGGCAACAGCGTTTGGGGTCCTAAACGCCCTGTGTAAACTGGCAGCTATTCTGGGCAGTTCCATCTTCGCCAGCTTTGTGGGCATCACCAAAGCCATTCCCATCCTGCTGTCTTTCACCGCGTTGGTGGGCGGTGGCCTGGTGGCTCTGAGGCTCCCAGACACGCGAGAGAAAATCCTTTTGTGAGACAGAAAGAAAGCCCCTGGAAACTCTGTGAAGGGGAGCGGGTGAGGAAACGTATATGTGATTCATGTACAATGCCAAACACTGTCACCTGCTTCTTATCATGTTTCATCATCATTTGAGAGTGTGCGGTCAGTTTGAGTGAGATTTCCTATTTAGTGTTTCACTTTTTTTTTGAATATTTTGGTTGTGGTAAGAGCACATATTTACCATGACTAATTTAATTTATTTGTAAAACGTTCATAATTTTCTCTCCATGCTCACTTAATCAGTCAAAATGATCACTGGAAATGACATTACATTGCAAGCATTACATTTTGCTGGCTTTTCAAAACTAAGCAAATTAAATAGACATTTGCCCTCATTAACCCTTCCATGAGCCATAATACAATCACACAGATTTATTTACATACAGTCTCACACCCATCTTAGATACACAACGCTGGAAAGTTTAACCTGTACCCTGATCCCATCAAGGACATTAACATATCATTAAGATTCAATTAAATGTTCATCTAACTTGTGATTATATGCACGGAGGCTACATCTTCATCTACTAACGCCATAATGATGCTAATGCTAATTACGAGAATGAATCATTTTAGAAGTGATTCTGTGCAGTGAGCTTAGCACACTCCAACTTTCAACATACAACTTTCTCTCTTCATAAAGTTTTTTCGTTTTCTTCGACACCTGTATAACTTCCAATGGCAAACTAAGATAAGCTATACTGCTTGTGGGAGATAAAACACAAAAAAATGTTCCTCTCTGTTTGTATTTGTACATACATAGTGTCCATTTTTATTTTATGTATGTATTTTTATTATTATTTATTACAGTTTTGTCACCTGCATTCACTACTTCAGATTTCAGCACATTGTGACCGACCTAACAGCTTGGATCTTGTACAGTTTGTTGTTTAAAATATCCCTGTTGATACTCAAGAGTCTTGTGCTGAGAGTGGCTGCATGTTTGTCTTTTATTTTTGCTTTTATTGCGTCGTAGGTCTGTGTGTTTATTATTTGGGTTGTATTGGGTCTCTGTATTCAAATGTCTTCCACAGAGAACAGCGAGAGAGGATGCTTCACTGCAGTCTGCCTCTGCTCATGTTGACTTTGCTTTGACCAAACAATATTGCTTGTATTCACTGTATAGTTCTTTCTTACCAATAGTTGTAATGAAATAAGGGAATCAATGAAGTGTATACCAGGCAAAATAAGTAACGTGCTATATCAAATTTAAGTAAAAATAGCAATAATGTCTGTACCAATTCAATTAATGGGGCATTGTGTAACATTTCTGGTGGTCCATCAAATGCTTTTCTCCATGGAGATGTTATTGCTTTGTCAGGAATGTTTCACAGTATGGCATTAATCCTTTTTATCTTCATGGAGACCAAACCAGACCAAGTTACAGGTCAGATCTGTGGAGAGGTAACCCCGCTCACAGTCAGAATGTTTATTTTTCTAGATATTTTTGAGCTATAAAACCATCTGTAATCTAATGTAATATAAGGAGAGATGTTTAATGTCATACTGTGGAACATTCCAAGCAGAGCAATGACATATCCATAGAAACAAGCAGGTGACGGACCCCAAACCAAAAAGTTACCTAGTGCAGCTTGAACTTTTCATTTACTTTTAGTTGCAAACTGTGGGATAAAAACATAACACAATTAACAATAGTAAGACCCAGCCAGAGATAAGGAAAAGTATGTTAAGGTATGTTTTCCAGTGAAACTTTAATGTGTAGATAAAAAGCCATGTTACTTTGCCATAGTCTTTAACTAGCCTGAAGCCACTTACACTGTGATTTTGACATTTTTGCTTAACCTCAGTAAGAACATTAAAATCTAGTGTTTTGCATTGTGCACCAATACCTTTATTGACTTGAGAGTCTATGTAGACTTTTCCTTCTCAGACTGGGTTTTGCTATGAGAAAATTCCAAAACAGTCAAGCATGTGTTGTGCACTTTCAATACACCTTATAAATACTGTATAAAAAGTGAGTTGAGCAATTCACTTAAGAGCACTACACATAATATACTGTGCCCTCCTCTGGACCCCATGCAACTGAGCCTAGTGATGTGCAACTGGCATACTAGTCTACTGTATATCAAGAATAATTGTTTCTATTAGGGCTAGACCAGTTTGAGTATATAAGATCAGATGTACAATGCTACATTAATATTGCTATAACAAGTGCTGTGCAGCTCTTCACTCACTCTGTATGTCTCTGTTTCTTTAGACCTGCCGTATGTGTATGTATGACATTGCTGTGAAATGAAAAGCCATAATTTGTTCTTTGTTAAGATAAAGTATTGTAATTGAGCCATTGTCTTTATTGTTGTTGATGGGTGAAGAAACTGTTGAGTGCTTCAGTTTCTGTTGTTGACTGTATTTCTTGCTGTTTCAACCAGAACAATAAAAGGTTTAACAATGCATGGTGTTTCACACGTTTTTATTTTAAAATTTAATAATAAGGGTTCAATAATCAATGTCAATTTCTTATAAGTAATTTCTTATCTCTTAGATTTTTTTATTGTCATTTATCATTTTGATACTTACACACATATTTACATAAAAATGCCCAACCTGAATATAAATGTTTATAGTTTCTACTAAACAGTATACACAAATGCTAATTGTTTTACCAGCCTCAGTCAGCATATAGAAACAGATCACATCAGCACCATATGCGGTCCAGTCTGTCCAATGAACCAGTCCAGGACCTCCTGCTGGTTCTGCTGTAACCACTTGATGTTGGCCTCAGTCCTCTCCAGCGCCTGCTCCACGGCCAAAGAGGCGGAGCCAAAACCCAAGTGCTCGTGCTTTTTCACGAACTGCTTTAGCTGCAGAGGAAACGCGCCATGTTAAAATAACCTGATGAAAATAACTCAGTCAGGGATGTTCCTGCGCCAATCAGGACGTACCTGCTGCAGTTCAGTCTGTGTAGAAAACCTCGCTGTGACACCACTGATTATTGTAGCAAAAGAAAAGGATCCCATTCCATACCTACAGACAACACAATGTCTTTAAGGCAACATTCCTAAACTTTCAACATAAATATGCCATTCAAACTGTATCCATTCATTATTAAATAATATAAATATTATTACAGGTATATTACATGTGGACTCTTAGAACTCACTCTGTGAACATGTATTCCCATTGCTCTTTAACAAAGTCCCATGCCAGTGTTTGTCCTTCTCTGTTACTGGCCACAGCAGCGATCACTGCTGAAGCGTCCTGTTTGCGAATCATGGTTGAGTTTAACGTAAAAGACAAATATCTGCAACAGAAATGTGACAGGACCCGTTTCAGATAGATACTCCCACAGCGCCCTCTGCTGTAAAACCAGAGTAACACACCTCTGCAGCAGCTCAGGTTTGGTTGTACAGGCCAAAGCAGACATGAGTTTACTGGCCTCACTGGCCACAGCAGCACTTTTAAACTGGGACCAGCCAAAATCCCACTCTCCCTCTGCTCCAGCTGCTATAGCACTGCAGTACACCACTGCACGCACGTTTGCATGAATCCTACAAAAATAAATAAACAAATAAATCAGCTCTGTGTATGTAACAATATGCACCAAATATGGATAATATAAGTAAATCCACATGTTGTTCTGAGGGCTGTCCATCCACTGTCTGAACCACAATGAGGTTAAGTCCTGGCACTCTGTGACTCCTGTCTGACAGGCCATACGGATGGCATTCACCTGGTTGTATCTACAAATAGGTACAAATCAACGACATTGAACATTAAACAATATTTGGTCTTTAAAATGTGAATGTGTGTTCTGAGCACAGAACTCACTGATCTGTGTGTCTGGCTGGAACCTCAGTCCACTCCGATGTGATGTTTTTGAAATGTAAAAAGAGGGGTGTCACCAGCTTTTTCATGTAATCCTAGAAAACCAAGTTTTATGAATAACTACCGTGGGTCATGTTTCACTGTCAGTAAAACACCATCCAGCAGGTCTTTAGTGAGATACCTGTAGAGGTTGGTAGACTTCAGTGCGGTCCAACATGAGGTAGTAATAGTGCATGTTGTCCAGAGCAGACTGCCATGGCATGAACTCAGTCTCCCCAGACAGGAACAGGGTGGTCCTCAGAGCCAGTGTGGTGGATACTAGCTTGGCCCTACATCAGAAAAGAAAAGAAAATAACTAACTCAAGTGTCAAAGAAATGACTTGAAAGTGTTGTATTAGTATGATCAGCACACACCTTGCTAAGTTGAAAGCATCGTCTATTATCTGGGCTCTGTTTATCAAGCGGTATTAGCTGCAAAGAGAGAGCCAACACAGGCTAATACCATGTGGTACATTGGTTCTGAAGTGAGCTTGGTAAAATATACCTGGTGGTTTTTATTGAGCTGAATGAAGAGGCGCTCCCAGTTTCCCAAATCATAGTTCACACGATAATACCCGGTTACATTAACATTGGCCAGAACCCATTCCCCTCCACTTCTCATGTCAGAGTTCACCTCTGAAGAACCATAACACACAGCAGTTACTACACTGCTATTTTGCATCCCCATACAGCAAATAATTGTAAACATTTCAAAGTTCTAGTCATTATTTACAGAAGATACAATAAAAGTAAATATTGTTTTAATACCAGTCTTTTCACTGAGCCACCACACATTGCTCTGGAGGACACCATCTTTCATCCAACGCACAGGAATCAACCACTTGTAGCTGAATGTTAAAGAATCATTAATAACAACAAAACAAGGTGAATTCATATATTTATCTTTTGTGATATACTGATCAATACTTGTACGGTGACTTGACTGTGACATTCGACTCAGGATCCAACAGGAAGTGCTTCTGAGAAACATATCCTGTTGCTGTATCTATGGTGACCACTGGAAATCCCATCTGAAGGGTCCAAGTGTCCATGATCTCTCCAACATGATGAGGCAGAGACATGCTATTGTTTTTCACCGCCTGTTGACAACAAAAGACAACATTTCAAAATGATTTCTCGCTTTTGTACAGGCCTCTTTGTGATGCTTTTCTGAATATTTAATACCATGTTCAGATGTTGCCACAGATATGACCCCACAGTGTTGTCATAGGAGAAGGCTGTGAGATAAGTCTTCAAGAAAAGAAAAGTTTTACACACTTTTGTTTAAATAGTCAAATTATGTATATTGCAATAGTATAAATATAATTACACTTAGCCCTTGGACAAAAACTGGTTCGGAGAGAAAGTCTGACAACATCCTCAGCACAGAAGCCCCCTTTGAACAGTGTCAATTGTTAGTATACAACAATTTAATTTCAGTTTTTTAGTGAGGATCACAGACTACTACCACTATGTATGACTGGTTAGATAATACCTTGCTGTAGGAGATGGCATCAAACTGTTCACTGATCTGTTCTGGCTTTAGGATGTCCTCTTCTTTGGAGGACAGAGGGTGAGAGGAGGTCAAAGCATCAACAGCAAATACTCGGTGGATGTCATCAAGTATAATCATGTCTTTCTGAGAAAAAAAAAAAAACAAACACCCAAATAAACAACTGTAAATGGTACCAAACAAATATATTTGTGGTTATAAAAGATAGCCTCACCAAGTTCCAGTCAGGTTCAGCATGGTCAGCTCCCAAGTAAGATACATAGGATGCGAAACCCTCATTCAGCCAAACCTCATTCCACCACTTCAGAGTGACCAGATTCCCAAACCACTGAAACATATCACAATGCTTTTGGTTAAAACTATGCCTACATATACTAGTCTGTTACATCATTCTACAAAAATCATTAAACTGCATTTGTGTTATTATGTAACAAGGGAGTCCATAATATAAATATACATTGATATTTTATTTCTCTACTAGTTCAACACAGAAATTTAAATGTAGTCAGAGGTAAGTTTTGAAAGCATGTTGTCTCGTTGAGCAAATTATGTCATATTTTAATTGCAAGAAAACCTCTAGAAAAAACGATACATAATCTATCTAGTTGTTTTAGTAGAACCAATTTAGTATCCAGAATTTCAGTGATGTACCCAGTGGTGTAGTATAAATTAAACTGATCTTTATTACTTTTACTTCACTACATTTGAGAGCAGGTATCTGTACATTCTACTCCACTACATTTTTTTTTACTGAACTGAAAAGTAGAAGAATTTGAGACCTGCTAAAAAGGCTGAGGGGTTTATTTTTAACATATTTGTGCAAACAATAATTAACAAATAAAACATCTAGAAAAGGTAGATAGAGGGATAGATTCAATTGTTTTTGGTGAGCAAAATTCTGCATAAATCTTTATCAAAATCAATCCATCAGAAGCTTTTTTAGATCTCAAAATCTGTGTGAAATACTTTTAAACAGGTACTATAATACTTTTACTTAGGTACATTTTTTCAGGTGATACTTTTTACTTTGTATTTATTTGCGCTGGTATCTGTGCTTTTACTTATTAACTTTAAATACCCAAGCAGTACCACACTAACCATATGTGCCAACTCATGTGCAATTATGGTGACAGTGGTCTCTCTGTTTCCATTGGAGGAGCCCACAGGATCGTACAGCAGGTTGGTCTCCCTGTAGGTCACCAAGCCCCAGTTTTCCATGGCACCAAAGTAGAAATCGGGCAAAGCTATCTGATCTGTTAACACAAAAACAGCACTACAACTTAAGCCTGACCAGACGAGTCAAATGACAATGAAGAGTTTAAAGGTCCTATATTACACGGAATTGACTCTTGGGAGCTTTAAACCATGTTAAAATACCTCATCAAAAACATACCTGGAGTTGTGTTTTATTTCATTCACATGTTTGATTAATCCTTTATTATTAGTCTGTCTACATCTTCAAATCTCAAAATGCTCTGTTCCACCTTGTAATGTCATGACGCAGTAGTAGGGAATTTTTTTATTTTTATATTTTTTTTCAAATTAACTTTTTATTAAAAAAGCAGATTACACATTGCAATGTGTAGAATGAAATCACACAATCCTGCTTTTGTATTTTTTAAAAACATATGCAAACTCAGAAGAAGTTGGGAAGCAAGGGAACCTCTTTTACAAAATTAACAAAACATTGCAAATATGAAGTAGTTTTATATGAAATCTGATCTCACTGGCTTAACATACTCTATTTAGACCGCATCTTATAAAATAAGTTCAGCTGCACTTTCAATAAAAATGAAACCTTTTTCCATTGTGTAGATCTCTTGCACAATATCAGTCCAGTTCTCAATTGTTGCTCGCTCAGGTTTAAGCCACTTCCTAATTATTGCCTTTTTACTTGCTGCTGATAGAATATAGAGCAATCTCTTGTTTGTGCTGCTAAAGCCATCTAACACTAAGTTACCAAGATACAAGGCTTCAAATGACAGGGGGAAAGAAATGAAAAAACATTTTGTAGATGTTGATGAATCTCTGACCAGTGTTCTTGGATGACCCTACATTCCCAAAAAACACGGAAATGATTAGCACCGTCACTACCACATCTCCAGCAGGCATCACCTGTTCCTTGGTATCTCTTCTGTTCTGGTGTACAGAAAAATCTCATTAGGTTTTTCCAACAGACACCACTCCATGTATTTGACAGTAGAATAGAATTTAAAAACACAACAAAAACACTTCCCGTATACCACATTACATCACGAAGTGGAACAGATTTTTTTCTGTTTGAGAGAAGAACTCAGCCTAAATATGCAGGGTTTGTGTGTTAAACATGTGAATGAAACAAAACAAAAGTCCAGGTGTGTTTGTAATAAGGAAACAAAATTACAACATAGATCAGAAAATAGCGTAATATAGGCCCTTTAAACAATAGCCTCACCTGATTTGCTTAAAGGGTAAGGGATATTGTAATAATTCTGGAAAAAGTCCAGGATGGGTCCAGTGACATTGAGAGCATAGTTTCCCTGCCCAGACTCAATGGCCTTCCTGCGAGCCCAGATCCGTATCTCAACACACACAAAATTTGACTTTTGCATTTGTTTTGAAATCTTTGAATCTTGCAACTCAAAGCAGCATCATCATTACCTTGGTGCCTTGCTGTTCTGCACTGATGAAAGTGAAGTCACAGACGATAACTGCCAGTAAATAGGAAGACATTTTCTTAGTGGATTCAAACCTGGTCTGCGTTACTGCGATTCCATCTATGGTTGTGTTGACCACATCTGAAAAAGCCATCATATATTTTGATTACACTTCAACCATGTCTGAAAATACACACTATATTATTGATAACTGATATTTTTCAAAATATTATAATTTGTACTCAACAATGAATACCCACATAGAGATTTCCAGTTCAGTTTTCACATATTAAAAATAATATTAAAAGTTTAAGCATTTTCCAGGGGATAATCAGCATCTATATTTCAATTTAAAACTATGTTAAGTCATAGTTATTAAAACATTTAGCTACATTTAAGCTTTATAAGTATCCATGTAGCTGGGTTATGCTTTAAAGGTGCAATGTGCAAAGTTGTCTCCATGGAGATGTTAGTGCTTTGTCTGGAATGTTCCATGGTATGACATTAAACATTTCCATCTAGAATTTATTAATTACGGGTGTTTCTATTGCTCAAAAATATAATAGTTCCTCCTGTGAATAGCGGTGACTCTCCACAGATCTGAACTGTGATGTAAGTTACAGATAGGTTAAATCTATTCTATGGAACATTCTAGACAAGGCAATAACATCCCCACATGATGAGTTTAACCATAAGTACCATAGTGAAAAGATGGGAATAAGACTGACCAATCTCTTTGCCATTAGACAGGGCCACAGTTCCTCGAGGATGGATCAGAGTGATATTGAATACGGCCTTGAGAGCAGGCTCATCAAAACAAGGGAAAGTCTTTCTGGCATGTGTGGGGTGCATCTGAGAGGTGGCAACAACCCTGAACCAGGACACTTTGGTAAACATACATACACATGTGTGATGTTAGCTGTACAAAAAGAGAGGTTACTTTACTTTTTAACTCCATCTTCTTCATACTCGCTCCTGTAAAATCCAGCAAGGTCATCTGCCAGTTCTCCAATGAAGGCACTGAACAGCTGATACGTGTTGCCAGCTTTTAACTGCTCTTTTAGATGGATGACCATATACTGTGTTGTAGGCTGCAGCCAAGTGGATTTGATACTGGGAGCAGGCTCTTCCCCTACAAAAAATACAAACAAATACATTCATGGTAAATGGTCACATTTTTCTATAGCACTTTTCCACCTTCAAGGCACTTTACAACAAAGAACCACTCACCCATTCACACACCAGTGTACACAGACACTGTGGGCAAGGTGGGTTAAGTGTCTTGCCCAAGGACACAACGAGAGCATTCATCTGTGGGAGCTGGAATCACACCAGCCAACCTGTGGGTCAGCGGATCTGACTGCTTAACCTGTGATGTTTATGTCGAGAGCTGGATTTGAACTGCCAACCTTCAGATCAGTGGGCAAATGCTCTACTAACTGAGCTACTGCCCCCATATATTTTTAAACTTACTTTTTATGTTTTTATGCACCATTGTGTACAGGGATTCACATATATTTTTGGCTTGTGTTTAAAGGAAGGAAGTGATTAGACTTTCTACTCTAGTTATTAGATTCTACTAATTAACAGTTTTAGATCAATACTGCAGTTTACAGTGAACCAAATTATCTTCCTCCTCTGCATTTGACCCATCCTTCAGTCTCGGGAGCAGTGAGCACCACAGCCCGGTGCTCAGGGACCTATTTCTATGATCTTGAGCTGGACTTGTTCAGATTACGTTCACTGGAGAATTTTACCTATAGTGCATCTTTGGGTTGATGGGTGAACATGATGAGAGAGTGCCTGGAGGAACCCCAGTTTAGACATGGAAAGAAACATGCAAACTCCGCATAGACTGGAGATCGAACCTAGAACCTTCTTACTGTGAAGCGTGAGTGGTAGCCACCATGACTGGCAGTGTGTAAAAGAGTAAAAGCTTGTGTCTGAAGTTTAACCACAGTAACACAGTGAATGAAAGAACCTGCTGCTGTGAGTCGGACCATGAGATCATTTTCCTGGAGCACGTAGTTCAGTTTGTTTGAGTGAATCAGGATGACGTCAGTGTTTGTCACACACTCAAACTCCACTGTAGACTCTCCTGAAACAACAATAAAACAAAAGATCATCTAAATACATATGGCTTAGGTTCACATATTAATGATCTGTTTCTTTACACACTGGAGCCAGTGTGACAGTTACCTGTAAAGATGTAGATATTATCAGGATTTGGGCTGAGATGAGGCCACAGAGTCACACTGTAGGAGAGTGGTATCAGAGCAGAAGACAGGCGATATCTGTGGGCCACACAAGAAATGGGTAAAATGAAAAAAAAAATTTATTTTTTTTATTTTTATTCCTTGACATCTTTAAATGTTTGCAGATTATTTCTTTGTGGTTTCTATCCATAGAGGACGTAAGAACCTGTTGTCAATGATTTACTATAAAAAAATTAGCAGGCTTTCCTTCATTAAAAACAGCATTAAATTTCTATTGCGATAACATAATAGTTCCTAGCGTAGCTCACAAAGGAGATCGATAAAGCATTTCCATTTTACTCATGTATATGTTTTATTGCAGTATTATTAAAAGTCCGTTGGAGGGCGCACTTCCTCCATCACAAAATTCCTTAGCCTTTATTCTAAGTGAATTTTTGTTTTTAGATTTAAATTACAAATAGAGGTGGCCTAATTAAGACACACACAAGCACACATCTAAAGAATCAAATCAATATACTTCTTAACTGTCCTCCTTGGATATTTGTGAAGTGGTGAAAGATGACCAAAGTTGGTCGTACCTGTCCCATGGTGCGGTACTGTCGCCCTCGTCTCCCACCAGAGCAAGGGTCCATATCGTGACAATGGTCGCCACCGAGGCCACAGCCAGCACCGTACACAGCATACACAGTTTGCTGACACGGCAGCATTTCCCCATGTTTCCAGTCCCGAGGTAAGGTCAGGCCAAAGTGCTACAAAGTGGTCTTCTCCAAGGCGCACGCATAACCAGCCCAAAGGCAAAGATACACTCCAGTACAGTACATTCACTGGACACGAGGTTCCCAGGCTGGTGATAAATTAGTGCCAGAGCAGAACTACATGTGTGGATAAACTGCCGAGGGAGAGATAAGAGTGATAAATTATTCTCGCTTATAAACGAGCCTAGCGCCTAGGAACATCTCATTAACTTCAACAACAGACTCATATCACTGCTACAACTCAAGTTGAAGTTGCACTCCCAGCCCCACGTCCCATAAATGGACATAGAAAACATTTTACATAATTATTAGCCTGTAATGATGTAAACAGTTATATATATATATATATATATATAATATATATATTATCATGGAGAATTAAAATGTGTTTTCTGAGTTATTCACTTTTAACGATAACATATCCTTTTGCAGACAATGCAAATCTCTAAACGGCAGCTGTATCGAGAGGCTATATCTGTCTGGTAACTCAACAAATGTGTAAACGCCTACAGTAAAATATAATACCCAATAAAGATAAGTCTACTTCAAGAATCTTTAACGAAACGAGGTATCACAAGTAGTTACACATCAAAGGAGCACAACAAAGTACTAAATACAAACATTTTTATTTCTCAAAATAGAGTACAATCTTGATAGAAAATGTCTATAAGCATTCACAGTGTCAGTAGTCACATAATGGGGGCCTGTGAACATAAAGGTGCATTTATTCAACATGTGAAATGGCAAATAATTTTTCAACTTTGTCTTAAAAGGGAGCACATTAATAACATCCTATTTATGCTGATTTATCCAATTTATTGTGTATACAATTGTACAATAAATATATAGGTTAAAACAATTACATGTAAATGAGAATTATCTCATGGGCACAAGAGATAAATATAAAAAATACAAAAACATCCCATAAAATCCATAACTATCCATAAAATTGGATAGTAGTGGGCTAATATTTAAATTATGGTTTTGCGGCTTCTTCTTTAAACCATTGAGAAACAATTTCTTTGTTCTCTTCAATCCACTTCATGTTACTGATGGTCCTCTCGATGGACTGGTCTAAGGCCAGAGTCCCAGAGCCAAACCCAGTCTCTGAATGGTCCTCTTTGAACTGCCTCAGCTTTAAAAACAGAGCACACAAATCACATTCATCACTATTATATGTTATAGGTTACATTTCATTGAATAATTAGATTTAAATTAAAATGTCTTAGATTGCACTGTGGTAATAGGTTGCATGCATATTCATATTGTTGTGTAAATAATATTCAAGGAATATTCACGTTCAGTAAAAAATGCTTAAAGGTACACTATGTAACTTTTCTGACAGAGATTCGGCAGCTTGTTTCTCACAGTAATACTCAGTAATCTTGTATTGCTTCAAGTGTTTTTTCATTGCTACATAATGTGTTGAAAAACAGACATTCTTACACTGAGGAGTCACCTCACCACTGACTGACCACAGACACCACCAGGTGGCGGACCCTCCACCAGAAAACTGTCCAGCACTTTATAACTATAAACAAGGTGAGAAAAACACAAACCTGTTGAAGCTCAAAGTCAGTGGAGAAGCGTTTCGTTACTCCATTGATGAGGTTAGAAAAGGAGAAGGAGCCTCCTCCATATCTAAAAACAAACACACGGCCAAGATTAAACCCTCCATAACCTCATGGAAATGACATTAACAGCAGTGGATCAGTAAAGGTGTTTTTTTCAACTGCTGTTTACATCTTTAACCTTGCCAACCATTTTCCAAAATTAAAATAAAACTAATTAAATTATTTATATGGATCCACTGGAGTCTGAAATAAATCTTGATTGATATCATATTAGACTAAGTAATGAATGAATTCTTTAACCAACTGAAAAAAAAAAAAAACACGAAAAGAAATTGAAATAATGGAAAAGGTCAGCTGAAAGGGTGGTGTTGCTGAGTTAGCGTTGACCTGTGATCATTGCTCTCATAAACTGTCCGTAGAGCTGCCATGTGATAATGTTTGTGATGTTTTATGGAGCTGGTGCACGTGAGACATGTGACACTGTACTCCATAAGGATATTTAACAAGTCCATCAAAAAGGCTCAATGTCCAGTAAACTAAACACACAAAACTAAAATCACAGTAAGATCACTTTGGAGTCACTGGAGAGCACACTTAAATCAATTGCTTATTTTTCTTCCTTTTATGGGTTCCTTTTACATATCATGTCCTTTTCATGAAATATATTAGAAAAGATCATATTTAACATTACTTAGCATTCATAATTTCTTATAGTGATATGCCCCTTCACCTCATTATATTAAAACTAAAATCATAATTTTTCCTATCTATCTTCGTTAAATGTATCTGTATTGTCATCTGAAACACGCTCTTTGCTTAAAGGTAACTAAAATCTTGATTTGTTTGCACTGAAGTACTCACTCCTGGAAAATGTATGTCCAGCGGGCTCTGACAAAGTCCCATGCCAGCGCCTGTCCCACCACGTTGTTTGCGATGTAGATAATGGTAGAAGTGCCGTCCTGTTTACGGATCTTCCCTGGTGTAATTGCATATTCCAGATACCTGTAGTGAAAAGTATAGTCACATGGACTGGAAATGTCTATATTTTCAAAACAGACTGAAATGCACTCAATTACGTAAAATAATGTATTTGTCAGTATCTGATATACAGATTTGAGAAGCAGAATTTGTGAAAATGCCTAAGCCAAAGTAGCAAAAGCCAAGTGTCATTTATATAAGTCTATGGTCATAAGGCATAAATAGTTGGTCTAATGTTCCCACGTACACAGTAATGTTTATCCTATTTGTTACTTTCTATAATATTTTAAGCAAGGGCTTTTATGACATAAAAACATGACGTGCATATGTAGATGGCGTCTTCCCACCTGTTGAGAAGCCATGGCTCCTTAGTGCAGGCCATAGCAGAACGCAGTTTGTCAGCTTCAATGGCATTAGCCTTCTCAAACTGTTTCCATGCAAACTCCCACTCTTTAACGCCCCCTGCTGCAATAGCATTGCAGTACACTGTAGAGCGCAGGTTGGGCTGGATTCTGAAAGGTAGGATTGAAATGATCATTTATAGGAGATTTTGAACAAAAATATGAATTAACTTATTTCTTTGTAAAGAGACTTACATGTTGTTATCTTCATTGTTCATCCACTGCTGAAACCAGCCTTTAACCAAATCTGTGCATTCCTGGAGGCCAGTTTTACATGCTAGGCTGATAGCATTCACTTGATTGTACCTGAAGTGAGAGGAAAATAATAAAAAATCCTGGACACTGTCTAGTTTACTTATAATAATATTTTACTCACTGCTCCATGTGTCCTTTGGGGACTTTTGTCCAGTTCTCTGTTAGTCCCTTGAAATAGTTGAACAATGGCGTAACCTGTTTCTGCAGATATGTCTACAAAAGCAGTCATAAACGACATTTTTTGAGAATGAAAAATAGATCTACAAAATGATTAAGTTATTTTACAGTTGCTCACCTGCATATGGCCATACACCTCACTTCTGTCGAACATGAGATAGAAGAAATCCATGTTGTCCAGAGCTGACTCCCAGGGCATGAACTCCCGCTCATTCTTCAGGTATAGGGTGGTTTTCAGGGCCAGTACTGTGGGAATAATCTTGGCTCTACAAGAAAACACTGGAAATAATTAGCCTCTTAAACACACTTTACAACTTAAATCATACTACTGGACAGGTAATTAAAAACAAACTATTGAAAATGTACCATAAACATGCATGATATAAATTACTGAAAAATATGTATTACATGTAATATATAACAGCACCATACCTGGCCATGTTGAAGGCATCATCCACTAGTTGAGCTCTGTTGATCACTGGAATAGTCTATAATACATGTGTATAAACAGTATGGAACAATCAGCTAATACAATCATTAATATTATGTTACTGTATATGCAGTCTGGACTCACTGTGTGACCGGTGCTAAGAGTGTTTAAGAGTTTGTCCCAGTTGCCCTGATCATAGTTTACTCTGTAGTAACCAGTGACATTGAGGTTGGCCAGCACCCAATCACTTCCAGTTACTTTCATCCTCTCAACAATTTCTACAATAAAAAAAACATAGTAAAGTATAATTGCAGAATCAAAAACATTTTACTTAGCAAAATAACATATAAATGGACATTGGGTTAAGGTGGTGTGACGGGGATTTCTTACTTGACTTTGGGACCAGCCATTCTGGAGACTCCACAGTTCCAGTTTTCATCCACTTAATGGGTACAGTCCACTGGTACCTTTATAAAAAATCTGTAAAATGTTTTGTGATCCCACACAGCATATAACACAGTAACCTAGTTTTAATAATAAATGACCAAAGGCATGTGGATCAACAGTACTTTTTTATAATCTCACTCCCGAGATTCAAAACCTATTCCTAGTTTTATTCTAAAGAGACATAAGCAGCTTCTCTTAGAATTTGTCTGAGTTAAAAAAACACTTAAGTTCATAATAGTATTAGTATGACATAACACAGAGGCGACACATACTTGTACGGGGATTCGACTGTGACTTTAGAATCTGGGTCCAACAGGAAGTGCTTCTGAGATACATTTCCTGTGGCTGTATCGATGGTAATGACGGGGAAGCCCATCTGCAGCACCCAAGTGTTCATGATGTTGCCGACAGTATCTGGGAGGGTTTGTCCAGTCGTTTCAAAAGCCTATAAAGATGACATGGAAAAGGTTATGATGATGATGATTGCTTATCATCTGTATTGGCTGCCAATTTGTGCCATTGGCCCTTCTGACCACCACCAAAACTCACAAACACACCACTTTCATACTGGGCAATGTGGGTGAAGTGCCTTGCCTAAGGACACAACAATAGTTGTTTTTTAATATAAATTAATACGCACATCTTGCAGGTGTTTCCATAGGTCTGTGTACACTGTGTTGCCAAACTTAAACTCATTCAGATAAGTCTGGGAAGTGAAGGAAAATAAAGATCAATAATTATGTTGTTAGTTTTGTTGGTATGCTTTTATTGTGTAAAATATATGCATACCTGGAGCCCCTTTGTGAACACTTCTTCTGTGAGGAAATCTGAAAGCATTCTCAGCACTGAAGCACCCTAAAACCATTGACACAGTTGTATATAGGAGAGGTCAGACAGACAGGTGCAGACATTTAAAGAAAAAGTTTAAGTTTAAAAATTTGTTTACATTTGCACAATTACATGTGCCAATTACATGATATTAGTTTGGTTAATATGGTTAAATCTATAGAATGGCATGCTCCATTACTTTATGGTGTCAATCCAAATATATTTAAGAACATTTCCATATTTAAATGTGCAGTAGCTGTGAAATTATACATTTAGATACCTTGCTGTATGAGATGGCATCAAACAGCTCACTGATCTGTGCTGGTTTCTGGATGTCCTCCTCTTTGGAGGACAGGGGGTGAGAGGAGGTCAGGGCATCCACTGCAAACACTCTGTGAACGTCATTGAGCACTATCAGGTCTTTCTGTGTAAAGAAGCATACACTGGTTGATCACTGCTGAAATGTCACTAATCATTAATAGTTGTGCGTTTAGTTGGAAAACATACCACGTTCCAGTCAGGTTCAGCCTTGTCTGCTCCCAGGTACTCCACATAGGACGCAAAGCCCTCATTTAGCCACAGGTCATTCCACCATCGCAGAGTGACCAGATTACCGAACCACTAACCAACACAGAAGACATTTGGTAATATTGAATGAATTTAGTGGCCTATGTGAACTAATAACCAGAATACAAGTTATATCCAGTGTTGGGAAGTAACTGAATACATATACCGAAAATACATATTCTGAATACTAATTCTGAGTAACTGTATTCCAGTACAGTTACTCTTTCATTTGGTGGTATTCAGAATACATAGTGGTATTCATCACGCAATTTTAGCTTTGAACTGCATGATAATAGAGAAAAAAATAGAAAACACTGCAATGTGAATGTATAATTTTTATCTCTATTTAGAAATTAATTAATGCATAACCACAAAAATAAGGTTGCTTGTAATTATGTCATGTTTTCTCTCAATAATATAATCCAACTTTATGTAATAGTATTCTAAGTATTCTGATTACAGTACGCTGATTGGCCCAAGTAAGAGAATACATTACGAAATGCATTTTAATTCAGGTATTGAGTATTTCCAATATTCAGTAACTAAAGTATTCTTCTCATTACCTGTTATCTTATTAAATTTCTCTATTACTGACTAACCATGTGGGCTAATTCGTGAGCAATGATGGTGGCGATGCGCTCTTTGTTGCCGTTGGAGGAGAAGGCTGGGTCATACAGCAGCGCAGTCTCTCTGTACGTGATCAGACCCCAGTTCTCCATGGCTCCGGCATTAAAGTCAGGCAAAGCAATCTGATCTGAAGGTAAAATCAGATATTACTAAAACATAATGATCAGTAGGAGGGTCAGAGTGATTAAGTTTATTTGTTCTTTGATGCATGCAATGAGACAAATATGTAATAAAGTTCGAGGAAAATGCTGACAAGAATAGATGTGACTGATAAAGATAAGAGGTAATAAGGATATAACTTTCACATGATAAATGGTTTTGGAACTGTTGTAATCCAAGGCAATATGTTGGGCATGACAGTTACATGGAAAGAAGTCTAATGTTAAAATGTTAATCTGTAGCTTTGTACACAGCTCTTACCAGACTTGGGAAGGGGATAACTGGAATTGTAATAGTTTTCAAAGAACTTCAGAATGGGCCCAGTTGTGTTAAGAGCATAGTCTCCTTGCCCGGCAGCAATGGCAGACTTCCTTGCAAAGATGCGAATCTACATCCAAACACAAAATAGATATTTATATATTTTTAATGACCAGTTTGTCTAAAATAGTAGGGTTACACTTACCAAAACCGAATCAATGGTATTACTGACAAAGTCATAGTCGCTCACTATATATGCAAGCAGGTAGGTCGACATTTTTTCAGTTGGATCAAAGGAGGTCTCAATCACCTTCACACCATTTATCTCTTTATTTACAGAGGCTGTAATAAGAATAAAAATACAAATACTGTTACTGTAAGATGTTACATGAAGTCATCCTGAGTCTGAGGTTGAGTTTCAAATTGAGAAAATAGATTCATAATCCATTTATTAAATAATCAAACCTGCCAGCATTCTCAGTAATGTACATTTTGCCTTATGTGTTTTCAACAACGTGTTTACCATGTCTTTTATTGTTTATCTGTATACATCTATGTACTTTAATATTCTCTTTGGTTTAATGTGACTTTTTAACATCTGTCCAAGGACAGCAGATGAAAAATAGCTAATTCTGGTAAATTTACAGAAATGATTATTAATGTGTATTGTCCCTGTTAAATAAACTAATAATAATATAAATAAACTAATAATATAATCATTCAGCTCTGATACAGAAAACAATGGACTCTCCTCAGCCAAAGTTCATCCCTGAGCTGATCTGACCCTCAGAGTTAATGGCTTACTCTTACTATACTTGCTGTTCTGCATTTGCATCATATTTCTTGTAACAGCAACTCACATTTCTGTTCCCCATTGGACAGGGCAACAGTTCCAGGTGGATGGATGAGAGTGATGTGGAAAACAGCCTTCAGGGCAGGCTCGTCAAAACAAGGGAAGGACTTTCTGGCATCTGTGGGCTGCATCTGAGTTGTAGCAATAATCCTTTTGGGGAGAAAATTACATTCAAATATTTAAAGCAACTTTCTGCAGTCTACAGTAATAAGATCACTTACAATCAGAGGTGAACAACCATTTTCAGAACCAAAATAGTGATAATAATGATAGTAGTAGCAGTGCAAGTCATAGCAGCGATTTTAAACATGATACACTTGAATTTTATCACAAATATTGGTGGGAGTGTTATATGTATTCATGGTAGGAGCAAGAAGTTCTGTCTTCAATTTATTTGAATCAAGAGGCACGTACTTTGTGACGTTATTTTCTATGTATTCACTCCTGTAAAAGCCGCCCAGGTCATCGGCCAGCTCTCCCACAAACTCTGTGCTGAGGCGGTACACATGGTCCTTCATCAGTGTACTGTCCAACTCGATGACCAGGTACTGCGTCACTGTCTGTAACCAGTGCTTCTTGATCTTGGGAGTGCCAGCACCACCACTGACAGACTCCAGAACAGGCTCTTTAGTGTAGTTCAGTTTATTGGAGTGAATGAGGATCAGGTCTGTATTCTCCACACATTTGAATTCCACACTGGACACACCTAAAAATACATCAAACTCAAATAATCTTTTTATGAAATGCCTGTTTTTATATGTGCGTCTTTTTTTTGTATTTTCTATGTTTTTAATTTTAGCTTCTGGGTGTGTATTGTATTTTTACTTTGTTGTGAAGCACTCTGTAAACTGTTTTTAAAAGATACTTTAAAAATCACCTGGATAAGTGGAGTACCCAGTAGAAATGGAAAATTATTATATGAACTGATACACTTACCATTGTTCCGTGGATGAACTTTAATCAGCTGAAAAACTATTAATTTAAAGGTGCATTGTGTAACTTTTCAAGTGGAGGGTACATCAAATGCTTTTCTCAAGCTCTACCTTACATATATTCCATTAAAGGTGGTTTTGTAAAAAAATAGTAACACTAGTAAAACATGCATTCTGACTAAGCAGGGTCACCTCTCCACAGATCTGAAATGGAACTTGGTTCGGTTTGGTCTCCATGAAGTTAGAAAGGTTTAATACCATACTGTGAACGACTCCAGATATTCCAAAGCAATAACACCTCCAAGAAGTAAAGCATTTTATAGGCCTTCTGCCAGAAAAGTTACACAATGCACCTTTAAGCATTCAAAACATCTATGAAATGATGCAAGTCTAAAAGCACAATTGTAAACCCGTCTTTGCATTTATACTTTACATTTAATTAACAAGGCAGTAATGACTTGTGATAGAGGACTTTCTCACCTGTGAAGATGTACAGTCCGGTGGTCGGATCTTTAGTGAGTCGAGGCCACAGTGTCAGGCTGTAGTGCTCAGGCACCAGGGTCTTGGGCAGCCGGTACTGGTCCCAGGGCTTGTTAGATGGGGCAGGTGTTGTGACTGTAGGTTTGGTTGTGCTTCCTCCATTTGTGGGTGATACTTCATTGTTTTTTCCTTTTTCTTGTGAGTAAACAACAGAGAGAGCGATAATGATAGAGACAGAGGCTACCCCCAGAAAAATGAGGAATATGCCAACGGTTTTGCTGATGAAGTAGCCTTTGCCCATGTCGACACCAAAACTCTAACCACACATGTGCATCAAGTGTGGACCATCAGCCTTTATATGTACTCCCTCTGATCCCACCCCCTTTCCTACAGGTGACACATTAACATTTAGAATAAACAGGATTTGTTGTGTAAAGAGTTTAGATATACTACTTTTATTTCACTTTGGATTAGAATAGAGTAGAGGGCAATAAAAAAATAACTAAAACCCTAAAAGAAAAAAAAAAACCTGAATGACATTAAGACCAATACATGTAAATAGGGTGGCTGTGAAGCAGAGCGTATAAACAAACTCTTTACAAAGTAATAGGACTGTCTCTAAACATGTCCAACAGTATTTTTGCTTTAGGTTATTTCACTCCAAACGAAAAATAATTTAAGGGATTTATTGGTAGATTTCTTTGCATATGTATTGGGTGAATGACATTTGGAGTTTTCAAATGCTCAAAACATGAAAATATAAAGGCTCACAAAATGTGCATATTTTTTTATATATTTAAGTGTATATTTTATCATTTAGTATATGCACCTTGAAAAAAACATTTTTCTGCATTTAAAGTCAGGGATGTTTTAAAAATGTAATTCAGTGCAACGAACATATTGTAAAAATTTAATTAAATTTTAAATAACTTAGCTTATTGAAAATGATGAAAAATACAAACTGAGATTTACAAATAAACAGTAGGACATTAAAAAGTTTAGGTTTTTTTTCTTAAAGTTTTGAAGAATTTTACATTTGCCTTGATATGGCAATAACTCTCAACTCTGGTACCATTTTGGTAATACAAATAAAATTATAAAAGAAATACAAATATTTTTTAGTTAAATGCTTAATGTTACAGGTCTGTTTCACCAAATAACAAATTTCGTTTCACACATGACACATTTTGTGTTACCGTATGACATTTTTCATACATTTTCATTCTAAACTGGTTTATACTTTATCCATCACAGAGAAACACAAGCATCAGTGCTGACTGCTCACAACAAATGATTTGATTTCAAATGTAGTATTTTAAAAATTATTACAGTTTTAAACACATTTTGAACGTTACACCAAATGACATCCAAAATTGTGGCATTTGTACTTCTCGTGACAAAGGCATCACCAGCAAAAACTAAAAAGCCAAATCTTTTTTCCACCTCAAAGTCCTGCAGGGTCCACAGAGTGATGTCATCATGTGATACATGAGGAAAGACCTCCGATTATTGTTCAAAATGGCTCTTTGACTTTGTGATACCGAATGACATTGATGAAATAGGCTTCTGGGGACAACTTTTTTAAGACATTAAAAGTAGTTCTTTTGTGTTAATTTTGATAATAGTTTTACATGTTAATGCCAAGGCTTCCAAAATTATCCCACAGAGAAAAGTTTATGATTTTGTCAGTTTTTATAATTTGTGTAAGCAAAAGGTATCACTGATTCTGTGTATGATCCCTTTCACCAAATGACATTTTGATTCTGATACTGAACATATAATATCCTTTCAAATTTGGTTTCTTCTTCCAAATGTGTATTGGTACAACAAAGGTGATATAAAACAAATACATTTAAACAATTTAAACATTTATATATTAATAACTAGAAAAGTTGTGGCTTCTGGACATAAAAATGCCTATGTCACATCACTGACCCATTTACATTAATCTGGTAAAAAAATAAAAATAAAAAATCAGATCAATAGCCCATTAGGGTTCTCTTAAGATAATATAAGGTTTTCTTTCCAATAATTTCAAACACTCAAAACAGACATCTGAAAAATTTATCTTCGAGTATTTATCTGTAACCTGTATACACCCTACTTCCTCAATTCATATTATCATTCTGTAGTTGTCTATTAACAGATTTTAATAATATCTTTTTATAAAGTGTTTTTTATGACTTATGATTTATAAATATATTATGGAAGCAATGGTTTACAAAACATTCTCTCTATGATGGAAATTTTGTCCATCATAGAGCTACTTATTGATCAAACTTAATTAACTGATAATAAATAAACAGATTTACTAGCCTTGTTGACTTTCTGCAGTTACTTTTCAGACTAGAATTTCTGTTGTATATTAAAACTTTTTAAATGTATTAACAACAAATAAAAGTCAAAATATAATGACTGAAAGCTTCTAAAAGAGAATATTTACAAATAAAGTGCTGAAAATCAGAAATTGCTTATTCTTTTTTGACATTTTTTAATAATGTTGTACTGTCAAAAGACAGTTTAGAACAAAGACGGTGGGTCTTTTGACATGTGTTTTACAGTTTGTATCGGTTGAGACAATGACTGAATGATAACTGTTGCAGCCCTATAACTGTTGCAGTATTAAGACTGGTCTTAATATACACACTTCATAAGCCAAGTTCAATGTCCTCTAGTCAATAAAAAGATTTACTGCACTCTTACACAGCCTTTATCTCTGGTGTCATGCTCTAATGTTGGCAACAAAGACATTCAACTATTCACACTAGTCAATATTTATGAGTTTATGAGCATTTTCTGTCAGTGATTCAACAATACAGTCTATAAAATGATGCCATGCAAACAGTCTATACAATATCTTTGGCCTTGTTTTTATCTGTGTGGGATATCTCATAAAAGATGATGTCTGTGCAGCATGGTGATTATAAGTTCCATTATGAAGGGAGGCTCACAGGGTGTCAATTCATAACTTTAATTACATAAAACCTGGTTTAAAGGGGAAAAGAAACTTAAATAATTTTAGTTAGATAATTATTGAAAAGTATACAGTTCAGAGTAGATTCTTGAGTAAAGTCCTGGATTCAGTCTACTACGTTTGACACAAAATGATCTTCTTTCCACCAGATTGATTTGACAGAAAGCTTTGAAAGAGCATATGACATTATAGGTAGTTTTCAGATCTTAGAATGTGATTATATCATATTCTCTGATGCCCCCAAGGGCCAGATTTCCGTATTGACTACATTACATTTGGCCATGAAATATCCAAAAGATAAATTCCCATTTGTTGAACCTGGTATTTTCAGTTTTGACTAAACCCAAGAACTTACTTTTACTATTACAACATAATTTTGCATTTTAACCATATTGATTTAAGCTGCCCCCATCTGTATTAATTAATACTGGCCTATAGAATGCTGTGATGCCCTCTGAAACCCAACAATGTGATGGACACAGAGATCATAGAACTTAGAATAGGAGATAAAAAGTTAAAATAATATATCCAAGACTAAGTAGAAGTGAACATAGGCACACAAACGCAGATTAACTGAAACACTTTCAACTTGTTAACTTTTGTCTTCTGTGGAGAAATGATCAATCAAGAAAATGAATAGTACTAGGATTTCTACTGGTCTAAAACATTATACAGCTGTTTCTGCTGTACAAATAACCACATTATTAAAATGGTTAAGCTTCTATATTTATTCCACATGTATTTTCTCAAAATTAGCTTTACTTGGCCAGTCCGGAATATGGCCATGGATCTATAGTTCTACGTACACAGCCAGCTCCGCCAGTTTTGTTTTTTACGGAACAAGTGAACGCGCCACAGCGGTTACCTTGGTGACACCACGCGCCTTCAGTAGCGTTTCGCTTTCGGCTCTCCGCATTAAACCATAGACCGTCTATGCATTAAACTAAGCTTAAAGTTACTTTTAGCTCGTTCAGAGAATATTCTCATGTGTAGCTCCGCTAAAATGCCACTGCTGATTACAGATTACTCGTGGACCCAAACAGACTCCACAGTTTACATCAGCGTCCCTTTGAAAGGAGCCAGAGCTTCCCAAGTGGACATTATCGCTACTGACCAGTACATCAAAGTAAGTTACGCTAGCTAGCTAACAGTTAACTAAGATAAACATGATGCTAGCTAACGTAGATATCACTCACCCTTCGTCCATGCCATGTGTAATTTCTTGCATCTTAAAAGTTATGTATGAGTGCGTGACTTTTTACGTCTGTGCTCTAAATTGGAAACTGCTCCATCTCCAGACATAAAACGCAGGGGAACAAACCTCTGTAGGCTACTAACCCAAGCCGATTTGGGCCTACACTGCAATAGAGTTACCATGATGATATTAACAGTTTAAAGGTGCATGGAGATGTCTTTGCTTTCATATGTTTCACAGTATGGCTTGAAACTGAGACTCGGTATCTATGGAGACAAGCACATCATCCACACATAACAAAAAGTTACATAGTTTTTTTTTTTTTTTATTAAACTGAGTGCTTTGTGCTGGTGTCCAGGTGCATTTCCCTCCATACCTGTTTGAGGCCTTCCTGGCACAGCCTGTAGATGAAGACAAAAGCTCGGCAAAGGTAGGCAACGGAGCAGCGCTCATCACTCTGCCAAAGAAGACAGAAGAGCTATGGGACCAGCTAATGATAACTACAGGTACGCCTGGAGTATTACACACATTGAAGAAGTGTGCTTTGTATAATCCATAATTATGAATGTTACAGCTGACAAGGAAACAAAAAAAAATCTGAGAGAGAAAGCTCTGATCAAACACCAAGAAAAACTGTGTGCCGACTCCAAAGCAAAAGCAGAGAAGCAACAGGCTGAAAAGAAATATGCTCTGAAGACTATGATGAAGGTATGATGCTTTGTATTGCACTTTTGGTTAGACTCATCTAATGCACAGGTAATCTTTTCTTTAGCTTGAACAGGAAGAAATACAAAATATTCAGAAAATCAAGGACTTTGAGCGACAGAAGACCACAGCAGAACTGGAAGCCTGGCAGAAAAAACAGAAAGATCAACTTCAAATTGAGAAACGTATCAAAACTACACAGAAGGAACCAACAAAAAACACTGCACAGAGAAGTGAGACTGAGGCAAAAGCCAGATCTGGTAAGTGCTATAAACAGAGTTTAGTTTGTGTTATTAAATTACTGTTTGGTAATATTTTGATATCTCACAGGCAATAGAGGACTGAAAAGCAGAAAGCAAATGGAGCTGCCTGCCCCAAGAGCTTCAGGGAGTATCCAGGTGACCTTCACTCCCAGAGTCTTTCCCACAGCGCTCCGAGA